GATAGCTAAGGCTCTAAAGATTTCAAAGGAATATGTTAGACATGGACGTATCGTGTATGAATATTTGGTTATGAAAAAGATCGACCAAAATCGATCAAAAACAGCAACAAACTGATGATTCTGTGCACTGTAAGAAGTGTTTGAAGGTGTTTCACCTAAAAAATCCGAATTTATGTGACAATATGACAATTAATGAAATATGGCTCTATCATTTCACACCAGACTCAAAACGATCGTCATCTGAGTGGACTGCACGTGGTGAACCGACTGTAAAGCGTACAAACACGTATCAGTCGACTAGCAAGGTTATGGTTATGAGTATTTTGTGATACGCATGGCATAATATTCATAGACTATCTTGAAAAGCGAAAAACCGTTAACATCGACTATATTCGAGCGTTTCATAAATCAATGAACACGATGGCAAAATTGCATGAATTGGCCTTTGAGTGGCTTCCGCATCCACCGTATTCTCCAGATCTGACCCCCAGCGACTTTTCCCTGTCTTCAAATCTCAAGAGAATGCTCACTGGAAGGAAATTTAACGCAGATGAAGAGGTAATCGTCGAAACTGAGGCCTTTGACAGACAAATGGTATTGAAAAACTGTATGACCGCTATAATTATTGTGTCGCCTTCAGCCCAACTGTTTACCGTTGGAGTTATTCACGAAAAAACGTCAGAAAACGTGGGTTTATCAGTTGAAAAATTGACGCTTCCACCCGCGAATAAGTTGAAAAGTTTACTAATAAAATATACTTTGATTTTCACTATGGAAGGTTCACAAAACCACAATACGTGTTTCGCTATACAATAACTTTCCCAATCAGGTTTTTCTCTGCCAGTACTATTCAATTCAAGTCGAAATGTGTTATATACCCCCAACCCCCAACAAACTTATAGAAGCAGAAAGCGGAATTGTCTGTCCTGACATTATTATATCCGGTTCAGAGACATTTATCTTTTTGGAGAAAACTCATGCCTGGGTTTTTGTGGCATTGAATTGAACCTGGTTACTTTCACCCCAATTCGAAATCACTCCTAGATCCTCATTAAGATATGCAACCTCCTGCTGCTGGTGAAGATGTGCCTTCGTAGCCGATGTCTTGGACTCCAAATGGAATGACGAGACAAGTTTGCTGTCGTCAGCAAAGCAAAATATTGGATTATTGGTTTTTTTCACCAAGTCATTGATATACAATAAAAAGAAGGTTGGAGACAATATGGATCCCTGGAGAACACCAGCGTTGATGGAGAAAGTATTCGAGAGATATCCATCGACGGTCACTTGCAGGAAATGTTCTTTCAAGAATCTGAAGAGCCATACACAGAAATGATACGACAAGCCATAGCATCAAAGTTTGGCCAGCAAACCCTCATACCACACACGGTCGAAGGCCATAGAAATAACAAGCGCAACAGCTCTTGATTCTCCATGTTTTTCGATTGCGTTATTCCTAATATGGGTGGCATACGACAGATATTGATCTTTGTTTCCGAAAGCCATATTGATGATCGCTCAAGATGTTAAAGCCTTTCAAATATTTGAGGATATGGTGGTTTGTGGCTTTCTCCATAATTTTTGATATCACTGATAGTAAAGCGAGTGGTTTATAGTTATTTGGAAGATTTTCCTTGCTCTCTTTGGGAATAGGTTGAACGCGAGCAATCTTCCAACAAGAAGGAAAAATCTGCAAAATACTGGTGCGAGTTCATTTGCGCACTTTTTAAGTACGATGACGGGCACTTCATCAGGACCAGACGCCTTGTTGATATTGGGCTGTTTCGAAATTCGCCTGACTAGACGCTGATGGATAGAGTTCAAAATATATCATTTTGGTAGTGTCGAAAAGTTTGTATTCATGAATAAATGACGGCAACAAAATCATTTAGGTTTTAACGACATTGTTCTCACTATTCTTTTTTGTATTATGAAAGCTTTAAAACTAGTGTTGTTTCCCCAGCACTGATTTGCGTAATTAAGGCATGAGTGTACGTAAAAGTAGTAATATCATTTGAGTAGCTCAAATGAAACGTAGAATATGATCTATTTGATTCGACCAGTTAAGTTGTGAGTCTAAGTAAACTCCTGAATACTTTGCGACACTTTTTTGTGTGATTGTGTTTTCATTCAAGTCCTTCAATGACAGTAACATTAGTTTTGTCTTTTTATCTTTCAATACTGAATTTCATAACCCTGAAAAGGAATGGCATTATCCCCCAGACCCCCTGTACAGAGTTAACTTTGAAGTAGAGGGTTAGTAGAACCTGAATATAAATTTTCATGAACATCAGTGCTGTTTGCAAAATTATACGGAAAAAAGATTATTGACTGGACTAATATCAAAAGAGATATTCGAAACGGAAAAATACCCATAATTGCCTTTCGTTGGCAATTTACATTCATAGATACGTATTCAGTAGCTTTAATGAATGCTCCCTGGAGTTTGTACGTAGACTCTCCGTCAACATCGAGATAACTGAATGGATTCGTTTGTTATGAAATGAATATTTCATCAAATTTCCTCCCATTTCATTCTGGCATATGATTCGGTACATGAGTAGATAGGTTGAGAGTGCATATTCCCGGAAGGATATTTATTAAGGCAATATACATATGTAGATGGCGAATAGGAGATTTCAGAAAATTATTACTGCAACTACAATAGTATGGTTCTGAAGACCTGTCATTAACAGTGAAAAAAGACGTGTGCGTCTCGGGACGCCCGACAAAAGTGACAACTGTGTTGAACTATTTAAAATTGAAATTGTTAAACGTGAGAAAAGGTTAGGTAATTAATAAACTTTTATTTATATCAATATGATAATGTAAAGAAAAGTTATTCATTAATGAAATCTTTTATTGATTATTTTGTATATGTATATATATTATAGCTACCAAAAGCCAATTGTTACTTTTGTAGGATTAAATAATGATACTAATGATGTACATACACATAATTAAAGAATATTACGTGCTTGCTGGTTAGACTTTTATAATACTGTTAACGGTATATATCTAACGCACACTAGACAATGAGAGTCTGTCCGACGAAAGAGGAGGAGCCTGCCTTCCACTGACATATGCGTGAGAGAAAGGGAAGCTCGACAAACTGGCCTCGTTACACGTTAGGTAACGTGTCCTTATTCATCTTTCACTGCCTGAACCACTGTGCATGCTGTTTTTGGCGAGTGCATTGGCTTGAGATGTGGGGGTTGAGCAACGCTGGATACCGGAATGCAAGATTCACTTGTGGTTCTGTTATTCCCTAACTGAATGGCATCCCAACGATGGCTTAATCCTAAGGTGTCTGTATCCGTGCCAAGAGGATGAATGACACTGAGCCTATCAGCTCTACGGAACCTTCGAGATACCGGGCGCCCTCTCGTGGTAGCTTCGCCTTGTCACGGTTATCCATGGCTCTGCCGTGATTGACCTTCTTTTCCTAGCTACTTGTGGGACCGTTATGGACAGAGTAAACTTAAAAATTCTTTTTGACGTTGAGTCTACAGAGGAAATGGATGTCGAGCTTACGACTCCAACTGACCTCCCTGTAAATTCAGATCAGGAGCGAGAGCTTCTTAACCCTCCAACTCCTGATCCAATAACTAAACAATACATTGAGATAGATCTCTTCTCAAACGAACAAAGCCCAGAGAATAAAAATGAAAAAACTAAGTATGCTCACGATGTAACTCATTTGTGTTTTAATTTGCAGACGTATGTGAGATTGTTGGGTGTTTCCTTCAATTTTACTTCTCCAAACAAGGTTATTTTTCTCAAAAGTTAAATTGTCGAAACGTAGCTTTCCTAAACTCTCTGAAACTTAATTGAAAGGGGTATATTTTAAGGGTAGACAAGTTTTTGGGAAAACGCTTTTTTTTGGTCTCCTAAAATTATTCCACTTGTCAGACTGACGATTTCACACTGCCTATACCCACTTCGACACTTACTGAAAGCTCAATAATTTACAATGACCTAAAAATATTCAACCACCTGCCAAACGACGGTAAATGTATAGAAAGTCCCTCAGAATTTAGAAAAGCAATCAAAGTTTTACTTCATGATAGACCCTATTAAAGTTTGGACGAATGTTATGATTATAACTTCCACTAACACTCTGAAATACATTTAGTGTCAAACTAAATTATAAGTTTCATTTAGCATCTGCAATAACTTACACCAATATAACGTTTTTTGTAATTTTCCTCTTAATTTTTATATTTCTATTTCTTATTACCATTTTACACATGTGGGCATTTTCTTTATTGTGGTAAACATCTGTTTTCAGCATATTTTTATATGTATATGTGTGTGTATGTATAGGTGAGTCATTCTTATTTATTATCTTTCTACTTATATTTCTATTTCACTTACATGGAACACTGACATCCGCAATGGTGTACTTCGAAGTTTCGTAACAAAACACCTGTGTTATCACCTCTTCAGCATCGTTTTTGATAACATTACGAAACGACTTACGACTAACATTACGACTTTTGTTTGAATTGGAAGGGTTACAGTTTTTACGAATGATTTTTGAAAAAAAAAGTTTGTCTTTCTATTTTTGTCCAAAATATGTGGGAAACGTCTTGTTCCGAAACTTTGAAGTACACCATTGAGAATGATAGTGTTCCATATAAGTAAAATTTTATATCGATACTGTTTCATGTACTATATTGGGTATAGTTTCTAAGAATTATATCTGTTTCAATTCCATAACGAATGTTTCGAGAAAAAAACTGATTAGGAAAAAGTGATTTTCGTATAATTTAATGTCAATATGAAAGTAGTTGTTTCGAGAGGGTTCTTTCTTCTAGTTTGCATCTGAAAGTCACTTCGATACATAATCTACATATCTCCGTGAATAATTTGATTGGAATATATCTCCCACATTTTTTGTATAATGGTGCAGAAATAGAAAGAAACAAAGCGTTTTTCTCATTCTTCAATATCTGTTTTAGAATGTATATCAATTTTTGATGTCTTCATTGTTGCAGACAGCACATTCTTGGTGAAATTGATGAAAGGATCCAGAGGGCTGGGGCTGAGCGTGACAGGCGGCATCGACAGTGGCGCCTCCTGGCCGGGAATCATCCGCATCAAAAGACTGTTTCCGCACCAACCCGCTTCCTCGTGCGGCCTTCTCAATGTTGGAGATCTCTTGCTCGAAGCCAACGGAATTACGCTTACCGGACTCACAAACTATGTGAGTATTTTCGTTTGTTGTTTTATTATTGTCAGTCTAAATATTTTAGACGAGGAAAGAATGAGAACAGTCAAGTCGAATCAAGTTTCAAAGGAGTTTGTTTTGATTCTTGTGTTAATTTATGTTTGTAAAAGAAATTGCTTCAGTATCACTGAGAAAAAACTTCAATAACCGTTACTAAAATTCAATAATAGCAATTATGAAGTTCATTCGAAGCACTTTACTTGCCACAAATGAAATCAAACTTGACACTGTTTAAATGCCACTAATTAACAACGACCAATTACTCAAAAACACTACTCATAAGTAAACTTGAACATTTATGGCAAAAACTGTATCTCCTTTAGTAGGAATGTACTTATTGTTAGTCAACTTTGCATTTCTGAATAAAGTACTTACATCGATATCATCTTATGTTGTATAAGAACATACATACTTCTATATGTTTATAAGTCTATAAGTATTTATGTTCAACTCAATTTCTTCAAGGCTGCAAGGTTTTGTGAACAATCAGATTGCTCTCAAGCATCACTAAAATGTACATGCACTATTACTGAAAAGTATGGTTCTTTAACAATGTTTATTACCAATGTTCCAGGAAGCTTTAGAAGTATTACGAACGGCATCCAACCATGTAGAACTGAGGGTCTGCCGACCTCCTCCGGACGTTTTGAACTGTGTCAGTCCCATATCAGAAGTTCCTCCTCCCCCGCCTAGAAGAGAACCTCCTAACTCTCTAAACTTGTCATCGGCCATATATAGTACGCCTGAAGATGAGCATTACCACGGGGTAAGTTTGTTTATCGTAGGTTAAAGTATCATAACGATAATAAAAAGGGGATATTTTTTAGAAAAAAAAATTGTTTGAAACAAGAAAGTACTTTTTTGGCATTCTACTTCAATACTATGTAGAAATTAGGAAGCTTTCGAAGAGAAGTGATATATGAAAGAGTATATGAAATTTCACTTACGAGCAAGGTCGGATTCAGATGTAAATTTCGAGGGTGTAATTTTCAAGGAAAATAATTATTATATGGGAGTATGTGCGTGTATATATATATATATTATAATACCCATTCAAAATGTACTGAATGTTCAGAACACACACTGATACCAAACACCAGAACTGCGAAACTCTTCTCGACATGTGTTTCACCAACGAAGTTCGCGTCTCAACTCTAAAACTGGTCCTAATTCAAATCCACTTTCATACACACATAAATGATTTCGGATGCAAAAAGAAGAAAGAAATTGAAAGAGGAAGATGTTTTATATCTAAAAGCAGACAAAGGCAATAAGGTTGTGATATGGGACAAGGCAGATTATTATGAGAGAATTGATAATTTATTTGAAATCGTCCCTTTAATAAATTTCCAAGGAACCCATTGCCCAAGATGGTTTGATAGCACCGACTTTGAACAGAAGTTTGCAGATTTATACTCCTACAGTTCCCAAAATTTACGGTCTACCAAATATTCTCAAATCTGACAAGTCAGTGCTACCAATTGTCTCCGCCATAAGTTCTTCCCCTAATTATAAAATTGCTAAACGGCTTACCAAACAGTTTGAATATCTCTCAATGCTACAATCGAGTTTACATTTTGTTAATTCACATGAATTCATTGTTAAACAACTCAGTAGCACTTGTGCTAACTGAGTTGAACTTCGCCTTTTGTTATATCAGTAACTATCTCTGTAATTTATCTAAATATTATTTGTATGTAACTACAGCTGGGAAACAATAAAGACGATTCTGTATCTGTAGAGTAGGGAGGGTGAGTGTAAGCCCACGCACTTAGGCCACATGTGACCCAAAAACTCTTCTCGACATGTGTTTCACCAACGAAGTTCGCGTCTCAACTCTAAAACTGGTCCTAATTCAAATCCACTTTCATACACACATGAATGATTTCGGATACAAAAAGAAGAAATTGAAAGAGGTAGATGTTTTATATCTAAAAGCAGACAAAGGCAATAAGGTTGTGATATGGGACAAGGCAGATTATTATGAGAGAATTGATAATTTATTTGAAATCGTCCCTTTAATAAATTTCCAAGGAACCCATTGCCCAAGATGGTTTGATAGCACCGACTTTGAACAGAAGTTTGCAGATTTATACTCCTACAGTTCCCAAAATTTACGGTCTACCAAATATTCTCAAATCTGACAAGTCAGTGCTACCAATTGTCTCCGCCATAAGTTGCCCTAATTATAAAATTGCTAAACGGCTTACCAAAGAGTTTGAATCTCTCTCAATGCTACAATCGAGTTTACATTTTGTTAATTCACATGAATTCATTGTTAAACAACTCAGTAGCACTTGTGCTGAGTTGAAATTCGCCTTTTGTTATATCAGCAACTATCTCTGTAATTTATCTAAATATTTGTATGTAACTACAGCTGGGAAACAATAAAGACGATTATTATTATTATTAAATCACGAATGTGAAGAGACAAGACGAAGAAAAGTGAATAAGTAATCGAAGACTACAAACAACTATCAAAAGTCTGCAGGGAACAGGATTGCTTTCAGTTCAACAACTGTTTCGACAGACAGCACGAAGGAACGGCAATAGCTAATCTGTTCATAGATTGATGTGGCGTTGAGAACCAGTGGAGTCTTACCAGTACTCCATGTCGAACGTAGCCCTAAATATGAACACTTTTTATCTTTCCGGTGATGGTTAGAGTCTTGGATTATTCTTGCCATTTCATGCGATGCGATGGCACCGCATGATGCTCCCTATGCTAACTTACGTCGCAAGCGCCTTAGTAAGGCTCTTGCACTCATGTTTCCCAATAAACCGTAATGTCTGATAATCGGACTACTTCGATATTGATGAAACCAAGGTCGTAGTGTACCTCAGTATACCTGTACCTTAACTTTGACCCGCTGCTAATATAGTGGTCATCACTCCCTCATCTCTACACGTGAGAAGAGCCTAAATTCATATTCCCAACATGTGTATTGGCCTAAGGGTGGTTTTAATTTTTATATTACCTTACCAGGAACATACTGTCAGACCTACAACTCAATGATGAAACGCAAATTATTTATCATATTCGCAGGGATCGGAAAGGCACACGTTTTGTCTCTTTGATGTATAGACTCATCAGACCGCCAACATGTGACTTTTAACTCCACTGAATAGGCGAGACGATGTTAGCCCCTCGTCGATGAGCCTTACTAGGGCACGTAAGCCAGCATAGGGAGCATCCTGTGGTGGCATTGCATGAAATGGCAAGAATAATCCAGGACTGTAACTGTCACCGGAAAGATAAAAAATGTTCATATCTAGAGTTTTCTTCTACACGTTCTACTGGCAAGACTCCACTGGTCGTCAACGCTTCATCAAACTACCAACACATCAAACGACCAACACATCAAACAGAGATGCAGATGATGTGGAATAGCCAGAGCCTATTAGATACAAATAGAGATCAGTTCTAGAGTTCGGAAATGGTGTACTCCATCTCCTGAAGATGCCAACTTGGTTGGTGCTATGTGGGAACCGTGTCAGAGGTTTCAGTTCTACCTTTCATTTCATTATTGAATGTTGATGTTAGGGGATGTAATTACCCCCATGATCCCCTCCCCATGAATCTTATCTTGCTTACAAGGAAAACTTTCAAACTTCCAAGTATATCTTTAGAAGTTTCGAGAAAAAATTCTTGTTCCTCATCAGTAAATTTGTATTTTTTGTATAACTTTCAAAAACCATCCTCTCAATCTTTGCACAAACTCTAAGATCATTTCTGAGAAAAAACCTGTTGACTTACTACTTTTCCATCATTATTATTGAGTCATCTTTTAAAGTTATCCAAAAAGATTATGATGAATAGTTAGAGACAGACGGGTGTTTTCACCTGAATTTTCGAAGTGCACCTAAAGATTGAATGTCTATAGTTGTTTACTAGCTGTATTTTTTATTCATCATTAATAGTTAGACTTGGTATGATGACTATAGTTACACAGAGGCTAAAACGTCAGGGAATCAGATTATACTTTGAAAAGGGCGTTAATACGTTGAAGACCTAACATGTTGCTTTCTGACATCAAGAAAGCAAGTCCTGGGCTCAATATCGCTTTCGATTTCCTTACATAAAAGCGTTTGTGATACTGAATTTTGTAAATAATAATTTGCAATTGGAGTTGAAATCGTTAAACTGAAGATGTAATATTTTGTGATACAAACATCATTATTATTTTCAGGAATTTGAAATTACGCTTACAAAAAAACAAGGATCGTTGGGTTTCACTTTGCGCAAAGAGGATGATAGTGCCCTTGGTCACTACGTGAGGGCGCTGGTGAGGGAACCGGCAGTGACAGACGGACGGATCAGAGCTGGAGACAAAATCATAGCTGTAAGTACCTATAAAATAGAAGTTGAGAAATGAATAGGAAGAAATATTTGGTAGCGAATCAATTTTGGTACAGGAACATTGCTTGGTCATTTTTTGTACTTTCAAGTGAGAGTCGAAGTATCCGTTTGGGCGTTATTTATATATTTTGTAAACTTGAACTGTTATTTATTGCCTAGGGAAAAAATGTCTTTGTTATTTATGCATAATCTCTTTTATGCTCTCTATAGGAAATTAAGGGTGCAAAATTGGAACTACAGAAAATAAGTCTTTCCAGATTATATTTTCGTCTTTTCTATAGTTTGAAATGTGACATTTATAAGAAAATGCTTTGGGATACAAAAAAACCCCGTGTACCGAATTTTGTGCAAATAACTTATTTTTTGCAAGAGTTATTTTCAAAAAGCGAACAAAATAATTCAATTTCAACATCCCGTATCTCCGAAACGAAGCATTTTCGGACACAAGTTTATATAGACTTTTTTTCTTAAAATTGTCTCATGAATACATCACTTGAATATTTTTACGTACTTATGTTACACCCTTTATAATATAATTGTACCAGACTAACTATATAACACATGTAGAAATGAATTTTTTCCTCAGTAAATAATTAAAATCAGTCAATTCCGTATATCATTTTCATTTTAGGTTAACGATGTGGAAATATGCCCAATGTCTCACGAACAAGCAGTTCAATTCTTGAGGCAGTGTCCTGATGTAGTGAAGTTGAGACTTTATAGAGACCCTGCTCAGACACCAGTGTCCACGCTTTCGCCATCAGAAACAACTCCCAGGACTTCCTTCTCCAAAAAAACGAACTTGAGGTAATGATTACATTTTTTCATTAGTACGTACTCTTTAAAATTCAATGTTGTTTCCCAACTACTTCTAAAATGCCGGTTATTGCTCAGAACCCCATTTTGTACATGACAACCAGTTTCGTTTATTTTGATGGAAAACTATTTTTGATCATCAAGAGCAGTAGGGATCACTCATGTATTTTTTCAATGTTTCGAATAATGGGTGGTTCTCATATATCTCATACATTGAGAGAAATTTCTGTAACATTGTTTTTGGAATTGTTAAATTTGAAAATAGTCCACAATTTGGACTCGATTTGGCTTTGGATATTCAAAAAATCCCACTCCAATCATATTTAATCAACAATAATAATACAATCGACTCTAGTAATGATGAATTATCAACAAAAATTTAAAAATACTTCAGATTTTCACCTCCTCATCAACTAAAATAATAAAAACAGTCTTTATGTAAAAAATTGGAACTAAGGAAAGTAACGATCTATTTGCACACCAGATACCGCCACGGGTAATTTTTTTGGAGGGTTCAAAAAATCTGTATTCTCAATTTTGTATTATGTACTCTTCCCCACCCCCGTGGACGGTTCTGAACGTCACAGACAGTAAGTTGTCCTAAGACCCATAGTACTAAAAATTATCAGTATATTTTTCAATTTTCCGGTTTTTTTTCAACACTTGTTGCGTTCGTTGCGCAAATTCTAGAACTACTGTTCTACTGCTTCTTCTTGCCTCAACAAATTTAGCTCGAGTAGAGAGCCTTCCCATAGCAATTAGACCCGAATCGCAATTATTTTCATGATCGTTTATGCGGTATTCATTTATTCAAGTGATTAGGTTTTCTGTCATTCAACGAATATAAAAATATTCATGTTTTTGTTCTCACTGGTCACTTGCACATATTTTTTTTATTGGCGAAAAACAACCCTTTATACTCGATTATCGCTTATGCAAAATATTTTCCGAATACGACAATTTTGGAAACTGATATAAATGACAGAAATTCAAACAGACTGAAAACGCGCCAAAAAACACAGAAGAGATGTACTACTTGAGCTGAAAAGTTTCGGGCGTAACACACAGATGGCGGTAGTCTTATTGCATTCACCAATTTTTCAGTCAGTATTAACCTTCAAAAGAAAGCTGTTGAAATTTAACGATATTCTACTCATAAGTATGTGAACTATTGTGATGAGAGTGACACTAGTTTTGTTATTTTCAAAACAATGGATCACAAACACTGCTTCTTGATGAGAAACAATACCATTCAAGCGGAGCAATGCCTTGAAAAGTGTTTCAAGGACTCCACTCCATCAGAGAGAACAAATAAACGTTGGTTTTTTTGCTGACTTCAAACGTGGTCGTAGAGACGCCGATGATGCAGAACGCAGTGGACGTCCAAATGAGTCACTTACACCAGATAACAAATGAAATCCGCAAAATCGTTTTGATTGATCGAAAAGTGGAGTTGCGTGAGTGAGCTGACATTGTAAAGATTTCAAAAGAATCTGTTTGTTGTCTTCATATTGCATGAGCATTTGACTATGAGAAAGCGCTGTTCAAAGTGGGTGTCGCGCGAACTCACTTTTGACAAAAACAAGTATGCCATGTTTAAATATAACCAACCGAAATTTTTGCGTTGATATGTGACAATGGATGAAACATGGACTCATCACTTCACTCCGGAATCAAAACGATCATCATCTGAGTGGAGAACAACTGGTGAACCTCGTCCAAAGTGACCGAAAGCACAACACTCGGCTGGAAAGGGTATGGACTCGGTATTTTGGGATGTGCATTTCATCAGATTTGTAAAATAAATCAATAAAAAATTCTAACCATATTTACTTTCGAATATACCACACCTGTTTTATTAATGGTGACGTAAAACTTGTTGAACTTTGAGTAATAATTTTGCACTATGTACACCTTCATCTGAAGAAGCAAGTGAACATATTTCCTTGTAATGGTAAAATGAAAGATTTTATTGATATTGGTGTTTGAGCAAAAACAGCGAGACATTGAAACTGACTGCTCCTGCTTTGCCATATTAAAGTTAAACATATATTTGTGGCCCATACGATATATCCAATTCCGAATGTGATGAAATGTGTATTCAAAACGAATTTATTGATTACGAAGTGGCCCGCGTATGCAAAATCTTTTAGCCCAAGTAATTTTGGAAGCTAAAACTCAGTCTGCTCTCCACCAGGTGTAACGTCTGTACAGTAGCTTCTTCAGGGGTGTAACGAACACGTTCATTTAGTTATTTTTTTTTATAATTCCTCACACGAATGAGATTTTTTTGCAGACCAGAGGCCGTCGACATGCTGAACGACATAGCAAGTCGGAAACTGGTGAACGTTTCCCAAGAGATCTACAACCGCTCCATGTCTCCGAATTCGTCGCCGAGAAGACTGCGACGTCAACAGTGTCCCTCAGATGCCTCTCAAGCCGATTATGATCACTATCACGAGCAGTTCCACGAGGGGCTCATCCAGAAGTGCCCCCACCCCTTCGACGAAGACGCTTTCAATTCGCTTTTTTCCATGGAGTCCGAGGACGGCGACAGACCCCCCAGACCTGTTTCGTTGGACCTGTACAATCCTAATCAGACGCCGGTGGCGGCCAGGAAGCCGAGGTTCAACTTTTCGCTCGCGCACAACGCTTACGAACTCAATAATCTAGATGCCGAGGTTCTGGACGCTCCTAACTTGACGTATAATTTGGGTGAGTATAGTGTTTTCTGTCATTATCATCAACAAGTCGAAAATATATTTTCGTTAATAAATTTAGAGTTGGAAGTTTAATAGTCATGAATGAAAAAAAAAATCATTTGAATCTCAGAAAATATTGTTCAATCGGTACGTATTTGAATCGAAGTCGTCCTCTGTCATATCTGTATGTCGAGCTGTATTACTGATACGGTTTTTACCACTAGACAAAATGTCCTTCAAGGACAGTTGAGTCCAGCAATACATTTGTGCACCACTAATGACACCTAAGGCGGGAGTTCCGTGGTGGCCGTGGTAGTGGACGGACGTGCTGATAACGTCCGTCTACAAAGAAGGTACGCGGATGCCATGTGCTATCGTGGGGCTCCGTTTTGTGTTGTGTTGTATTAAAATTGAAATGTGGAGTGTCTGAAAAAGTGATGAATAAGTGGCCCCCTTTATTCACGCCGGTATCCAGGCCGGGGTGGTTCG